TCTTATAAATCACCAATTGTTACAGTGACATTGCTTAATACTGAACACAATCATCAAATTGATATTGAAACTACAAAGTTCGCTACGGCTTACAAAAGTTTTTCTCAGGAAATTATGGAACAAATCAAATATTATGTTATACATGGTCGATGCGATGCAACAATGATTAGGAATCTTCTTCAACCCAAGTATCCAGATCGTATCTTTCTTACTCAAGATCTTGGGAATGCCATTCAAAAGATAAAAAGAGAACATCGAATAAACTTAGGTGATACGGCATCTTTATTAACAAAACTGTTAGAGTTCCAAGCTAATGATTCACGGTGGTTTGTAAAGCCATTAATCGATGATACAAGTAGTCGGTTAATTGGTATTTTTTGGATGTCACCAAAACAACGTGAAAGATGGTTCAAGTTTTATGATATAATTATTCATGATAATACTGCGCAAACTATTAAGTATAATTATCCATTGAGTCTTTTTATTTTAATTGACAATTACAATAAGAGTAGATTAGCAGCACAGGCACTTTATACAGGATGAAAGACAGGAATCATATGAGTGGTTACTTCGGTGTTGTTTAGAAACCTGTGAAATTCCTCCATTAACTTTCGTTACAGATGCGGATCCTGCCATGGTTGCCGCTATTTCTATTGTATTTCCTAAAACTCGCCATATGCAATGTTTATATCATCTTTATCAAAATCTTCCAAAAAATCTTCGATCATGCTTAGGCACACTTTATCAAGATTTTCTCAAAGATTTTAAAAACATTCAGCGTTCTTATTGTGAAGATGTATTTGAGAAAAGAATTGAAGGGTTATTTGAAAAATATAGACCAGGAGAAAGATATATAACAATGTTGTTAGATCGGAAACATATGTGGGTAAAATGTTTTACATCTCGATGTTTCACAGCAGGAACACAATCTACTCAACGTGTAGAATCAGAAAATGCATTAATTCAAAAGGTTATACAATCAAGTTATTCTCTCTTGGAAGTTCAGGAAGCTTTAGAAAATCGACTTGAATTTGAGTCGATTAATAATCGTTACTCAATTTGGAAAACATCAACAATTCAATATACACAACCATACATTATACAAACATTTTTTACTGGTATCGATTATATAATTAAAAAATACCTGACTCAGCCAATTTGTGATGCACATTATAAACAAATGTGTCAATCTGTATGTTATTGTGCACATCAAGTGCCAATGTCAAAAATTTTATTTTCAGATGATGATTCGTTTGAACCATTTTTTGAAAAAAAAACAAACTAATAATTTTGAAATTCTTTCTGAAGCAGATGAGGATCGGAAACTTAACCTGCAATCTTTAATTTCAATGATTAATC